TTCTGGACCAGTTTTTCATTATTTTTTATTTACCTTTAACATGTTTTTTATAACCTGGATGTTTAAGTGCTGTGAACCTGGATGTTACCTGTTATATGAGAGTTCCCACGCTACGGCTTTAGTGCTCTGGAATTTATAGAGAATAAATCAACAAGGGTTTAAGACAGGTTGAAGTCATCCTCATCAAAACTGAGAGGTTTAAGATGGGTCTGAGATGCCTGTGATAAAACTGAGAAGGGTCCAAGATGCTTACAACAAAGTTGAGGTTGGTTAGAGACACCATCAACAGATTGAGAAGACCGTTCTGAGAACGACACAAAAGGTTTGACTAAACTTGCAGATGCCTGCAACCAAACTGGGAGGGGTTCAGGGTAGGTTTGGGTGGTATGATTTGTTATACTGTGGTATCAAAATATGGTGACGGTATATAAAAATTGTGACGGAATGAATCACGTGAGGTGAAGCGCCAAGTTTCCACAAGGCTGCTATGAACATAAACATTCTGAGCTCTTTCAGATGATGCGTCATAATGTTACTGACCCATGGCAAATAGCAGGACTCCTTTCATATTTAAACATTCAGAGTTTATTTATTTATTTATTTATTTGAGACCTGTGAGCTCCTCGCTGCAGACAAGGAAATGCCACAAACTTTCGGCACAAAGACGTTCCTTGCTAAAACATGCAAGGAAATGCCAACATTTCACAAATTCACTAACATTGCTTATAAGAGTTTGGCAAAATGTGCTGTGTGTGGAAAAAGGTTTCATCTTTTCAATAAACATCCACATTGGTGGTCAGTTGACAGGACATGTTGACATGACTTTCTTCTGGAAAGGTTTTAGCAGAGACAAAAACTGTTTGTTTAAGGTAAGCACATCTAGTTTTGGTGTGTTTGCTTATTGCGAGYGCTGCTGTGGGGTCAAATGCTACAAAAACATTCAGGATCCACTAGAATTGGGTCAAGCTTAAACTCAAAACTAATTTCCTGTTTGCTCTTATCGGCTGTGAAAATGAGCCAACTTCCGTAATAAATTCAGTCTTGAAGATCAGTGCCAAGGTCTTATGAAGTTTCGGGAAGTGCATCCGGTTTAAACCAACTCCCAAATATTTCATTCAAATTTGCTCGCTGTGGCGACGTCTGCAGAAGGGAGCAGCCGTTAGAAAAAGAAATGTAAATTTTACGTCTTTAACCACGGCACGTCTTGTTTCCCTCCAGTCAAGACGAGGAGTCTCCGACGTGGTCGGCGTACGTGGGCAAAATGTTCACGGCTGCCAGCACTTACTTACCCACCCACGTGTCCGACATGATGCACCAGGACAGAGCATTCGCAACTGTTCGACTCAACATGTTTGGCTTGAAGAACATCTGCGCTCTGGCCATGTAAGAAAAGCGGGGCGGCTGATTCAAAATAAGTGCATTTGTGCAGTTTTCCTTCATATCTCGTGATTTTTTTGTCAGGATTCAGAAGCTTTCTCGCCTGCTGGTTGCTTCCTCAGAAGGTTTCCTTTACATTTATAACGTGGATCCCCAGGATGGAGGCGAGTGTGTACTGGTTCAAAAACACAGGTGTGTGCAAACGTTATTCACAMTCAAAAAACTAAGGAATTGCAATTTTAAGCAGCTTAATTAAAAATAAACCATTCAAACTTGTATGCATTTTAAAATATTTACTTTTCTCTAGACAAAATTTGAAATTATTTCTAGAAGCCACATCTGTACTAAAGAGGAGAGGGACCATCTTGACCAGGGGTCTGCACGCTGTGGCTCTGGGGCCACATGTGGCTCTTTGGTCCCTCTGCAGTGGCTCTTTGAAAATATGACCAAGCATAACATAATTTTTTGTTTGTTTTTTATACTCACAACAGAAATCAATTTGTATGCAAAAACATGCTCAATACTACTAATACAAAAAGTAAAAAATGTTAGCTCATGCTAGCCTGTTGTTTACCTAAATAATCCAACTTCTTTCTCTCGAATCCATTAAAATTACCTTTAAAGAATTTGAAGACTACATAGTAATAAGACTTAGAAAAAAATATACCTGAAGAGTTCAGTTGTACTAGTTTTTATGAAATTCAGGATAAACTACCGTATTTATTCATGTATAATATGATCTCATGTAGTGCTGTACCAAACGATTATTTTCTAATCGATTAATCGAACGATTATCTTTTTTGATTAATCGATTATTCTAACAACAAATCTATAAGTTATTCTGATGTGAGTGCACTGGAAATTTAAAATGTTTTCATCAAATTAACAAGAACAGTTCTTTAATATTGTAATATTTTCTTTAATAGGTTTTTCATGAACATAAAATATGCACTCGTCTCTTGGAAGAGAGACGAAACGTTTCATTAAAGAAGAACCCGTCCAGAGGACCTATACAATTTTTTTTTTCCTTTGATTTTTTACCTGGATTACTGAGATGCATCAGGACATAAAATATGCACTCGTCTCTTGGAAGAGAGACGAAACGTTTCATTAAAGAAGAACCCGTCCAGAGGACCTATACAATTTTTTTTTTCCTTTGATTTTTTACCTGGATTACTGAGATGCATCAGGACAACATGGGGTATTGTTTT